TTTTTTATTATAAAGCACGTTATGAGATTGTACTTTGTGCTCGAGAGTGATAATTACAGTTCTTTTCATATGTATTACATAGTTCTGTTAGGGAATACAATTAGTGCTTTTGTTTCTAGACTTCCTTTTATTTTTATTATATAGCACTTTATGGCATTAATACTTTGTGCTTTCTAGTTCTAATTGTAGTGCTTTTCCTATTTGCTATATAGAGTATTACGGTAATATAAATAGCGCTCTTGATTCTTAAATGTTTTTCTTTTTTATTATAAAACACGTTATGAGATTGTACTTTAAGCTCCAGAGTTATAATTACAGTGCATTTCATATGTATTACATAGCGCTTTAAAGGAATACAGTTAGTGCTTTTTTTTCTGGACTCCTTTTTTTTTATTATATAGAACTTTATGGGATTGATACTTTGTGCTTTCTAGTTCTAATTACAGTGTTTTTCCAATTTCTTATATAGTGTTTTAAGGTAATATAACTAGTGCTCTTGTTTCTTCATTGTTTTTCTTTTTTATTATAAAGCAATTTATTTGATTGTACTTTGTACTCCAGAGTTGTAATTACAGCGTTTTTCATACGTATTATATAGTGCTTTCAGGGAATACAACTAGTGCTTTTGTTTCTAGACTTCCTTTTCTTTTTATTATATAGCACTTTGTGGGATTAATACTTTCTGCCTTCTAGTTCTAATTACAGTGCTTTTCCTATTTGCTATATAGTGTTTTAAGATAATATAAGTAGCGCTCTTGTATCTTCAATGTTTTTCTTTTATATTATAAAGCACTTTATTTGATTGTACTTTGTACTCCAGAGTTATAATTAAAGTGTTTTTCATATGTATTACATAGTTCCTTAAGGGAATACAATTAGTGCTTTTGTTTCTTGACTACCCTTTTTTTATCATATAGCACTTTATGGGATTAATACTCTGTGCTTTATAGTTCTAATTACAGTGCATTTCATATTTGTTATATAGAGTTTTAAGGTAATATAAATAGCGCTTTTGTTTTTTCAATGTTTTTCTTTGTTATTATAAAGCACGTTGTGAGATTGCACATTGTGCTCGAGAGTTATAATTATAGTACTTTTCATACGTACTACATAGCGCTTTAAGGGAAACAATTAGTTCTATTGTTTCTTGACTACCATTTCTTTTTATTATATAGCACTTTATGGGATTAATACTTTGTGCTTTCTAGTTTCAATTACAGTGCTTTTCCTATTTGTTATATAGAGTTTTAAGGTAATATAAACAGTGCTCTTCTTTCTTCAATGTTTTTCTGTTTTATTATAAACCACGTTATGGGATTGTACGTTTTGCTCGAGAGTTATAATTACAGTGTTTTTCATACGTATTACATAGCGCTTTAAGGGAATACAAATAGTGCTTTTGTTTCTTGACTACCTATTCTTTTTATTATATAGCACTTTTTGGGATTAATACATTGTGCTTTCTAGTTCTAATTACATTGCTTTTCCCATTTGCTATATAGTGTTTTAAGGTAATATAAATAGCGTTCTTGTTTCTTCAATGTTTTTCTTTTTTATTATAAAGCCCTTTATAAGATTGTACTTTGTGCTCGAGAGTGATAATTACAGTGGCTTTCATATGTATTATGTCATGGACCGAATTGATCAACTACACAGGACACAAAATAAACTAATAAACAACGACAAAGAACGAACAACTAAACATAACTAACTAAACCAGAAAAGAACAAATTAACTAAGTGGATATGAATAAAGCGAGAAAAAGGATATTCGAAAGAGATGCAAACGTAAGTAAGTACTAACGTAAGAACGACCCGATACCCTTCTAGCATCGAACTATCCTCCACGAAGGCACCACCTCGGTCGACACTTTGGAGAGCTCTTCCACTTTCTCCAAATGCCATGAACTTGAGGCTTTATACTCAAACCCGAATTTTTGAACTAAACCCCATGGAGCATGCAATGGAATTGCATTCAATGAAATATTAGACTGAAAGAGAAAGTATTGCTATCAAGCATAACTTTCCATAAAAGGAAGTGATCATAAATGATCAATTATTCACAAAAATATATTTGCTTGGTGTGTCCTACAATGCACTTTAAGGGTCCTATTTGTAGGAGTGGGGGAAGGGGCAAGTGGAGTGATTTTCCAATGTGGGATGGGTTGTGTATAAGTAAGTAACCTCCACATAAGTGACACCTAGCTAATGGTCCCCCCCTTGCATGTGAGAGGCATGTGAGAGTTTATTATATATATATATATAAGTGTTTCCAATGGATGGTCCCCCCCACTTGAGAATGTGTAACCTAGGTTTATATAATTACATATTAAACCCTCTATTTTAGCAAACTCCTAGGTTTGCAAAACTTTTCCGTTAGTTGTTCAATTGAGGCGTTGCAAGCTCCAATGTAACCTTTACAACCATGGCACTCGCCCTAGGCTTTGCATCAAGTCCTCGCATGTTGTAATATAGTCCGTCCGTTGGGCCCCAATTCTCTAATTTCTTTATCATGCCTTGCAATTTTTCAATGCACGCTTTCGCTCGAGCTCTCGAGACTGGTCCGATTGGAATATGTGGAATTGCAAGTCCCGATGTTTTCGTATCCATGTCATCCTCTCCCCCTTCAGAAGGTTGATCCATCAACCGTTGTGCTTCCTCATCGGCTCGATCATAGAGTGATAAATTTGCAATATTAAAAGTAGGATTAATACCATATTCATCCGGAAGTTCCAAACGGTATGCATTATCATTATCCGGAAGTTCGAAACGTCGCCTTGCTGGAAACCTTTCCTTCCTCATGTGAACCCAAACCCAATCGCCGGGATGCAATATTACAGCTTTACGTCCGCGGTTAGCGTACTTAGCATATACCTCCGCAGATTTTTCTAGACTTGCTTTGACATCCTTATGAAGTTCCTTTACGCGTCTTGCTCGTTCCCTACCATTAACATTTAAGAACTCATTGCTAGGCAATGGTAAAAGATCAGTAGGCATTAGTGGGTTCATTCCATAAACTACTTCAAACGGTGACATGTGTGTGGCTGTGTGGATATGTCTATTGTATGCAAATTCAATGTAAGGAAGACATTCATCCCAACTTTTACTATGTGAATTCACAATAACTCTAAGGAGATTACCCAACACCCGGTTTACCGCCTCTGTTTGTCCGTCAGTTTGGGGGTGATAGGATGTGGAGAAAAGAAGCTTAGTAACAATTTCGTGCCACAATGATTTCCAAAAGTAACTCACGAACTTTGCATCACGATCTGAGACAATAGACCTTGGCACTCCATGAAGGCGTACTATTTCCTTGAAAAATAGTTTGGCGATGTGATGGGCATCATTTTGTCTTTGCACAAGGAATGAAATGCGCCATCTTGGAAAACCTGTCAACCACAAAAAAAATAGAATCTTTAGCACGTGCGGTTCTAGGTAAACCCAACACAAAATCCATACTAATATCAATCCAAGGTCCCTCCGGGGGTGGAAGAGGCATGTAGAGTCCATGTGGCTTAAATGTTGACTTGGCGTTAAGGCACGTCACGCATCGTGAAATATAATCTGCAACTTGCTTGCGCATTCCAGGCTAATAAAAATTTTCTCCAAGAGCTTCCATTGTAGCATTCTTCCCAAAGTGGCTCATCATGTCACCACCGCGAACTTCGTGTATTAGTAACTCCCGAATGGAGCATTTTGGGATACAAAGTCGATTATCATAATACAAAAATCCCTCATGTCTGCAATACTTATCATGCCCATGAAATTCACACAAAGCATACACATCTTTGAAATCCTCATCAGTGTGGTATAATTCCTTAACATGCTCAAATCCAAATAAATGCGTGGACGCGTATGAAATTAAAGCATACCTACGTGAGAGTGCATCCGCGACAATATTATCCTTACCCTTTTTGTACTTGATGGTGTATGGAAATGACTCAATAAAAGATACCCATCGTGCGTGCCTTCGATTCAGCTGTTGTTGCCCCCTCAAGTGCTTCAAGGTCTCATGATCGGTGTGTATCACAAACTCTCGTGGCATCAAATAATGTTGCCATGTCTTTAAAGCCCGTACCACCGCATATAATTCCTTGTCATATGTAGAGTAATTCAAGGCAGCCCCTCCAAATTTCTCACTATGATAGGCTATGGGTCGACCTTCTTGAAACAAAACTGCACCCATGCCTTTGCCCGAAGCGTCACACTCAAGCTCAAAGGTCTTCTCAAAATTTGGTAGCGCAAGTACTGGTGCTTGAGTAAGCTTTGCCTTCAATGTCTCAAACGCTCTTGGTGTGCTTGTTCCCATTTAAATGGGACTCCCTTCTTGAGCAAGGACGTGAGAGGGGCAGTGATCAAGCTAAAACCAGGCACGAACCTCCGAAAAAATCCACACATTCCCAAAAACCTCCTAATTTCTCCCACATTCATTGGAGGTGTCCATTCTTTAATTGCCTTTACTTTTGTTTCATCAACCTTCAAGCCATCCTCGCTAACTACAAACCCAAGGAAAACAACTTCATTAGTTTGGAATATGCACTTTTTAAAATTAGCATAGAGTTGTTCTTCCCTTAACCGTTGAAAGACGAGTCGCACATGCTCCACATGTTCCTTTTCACTTTTACTGTAGACAAGAATATCATCAAAGTATACTACAACAAATTTACCAATGAAAGCACATAGAACATGATTCATTAAACTCATGAAGGTACTAGGAGCATTAGTTAGACCGAATGGCATTACCAACCATTCGTACAAACCTAGCTTTGTTATAAATGCCGTTTTCCACTCATCGCCGGGTTGCATACGAATCTGGTGGTATCCACTCCGAAGGTCAATCTTGGAGAAGATTTTCGCTCCATTGATCTCATCAAGCAAGTCATCAAGGCGCGGGATTGGGTGTCGATACTTAATTGTAATCGCATTCACCGCTCTACTATCCACACACATCCTCCAAGTTCCATCATTCTTGGGGACCATGATAACAGGAACAACACATGGTCATAAGCTCTCCCGAACCCATCCCTTCTCAAGAATTTCTTGGACTTGTTTTTGAATCTCCTTATTCTCATCTGGGTTGCACCGATACGCAGGACGATTTGGGATCGAAGCACCGGGTACGAAGTCAATTTGATGCTCTATCCCACGAATAGGCGGTAGTCCTTGGGGTAGTTCCTCCAGGTATACATCCTTCATCTCTTCAAGCATCCTAGCACAGGGAATGGGAAAATTAGTGAGTAGATTATCTTTATCAGAATGAAATAAATCTTTGCATAACAACATAAAACAACCCCCCTTTTGATGATCTAGGTCACCAACTTCTCTCTGAAAATCGGTAAGTGAAAGAAGGATGTTGGAACCCTTAGCAGTAGACTCTCTCTTTTCCTCTGTGGATATTTCTTTTCCTTTAGCTCTTTTAAGGCTTTCAGCCTCTTGCATCTTCTCTCGCAAACTTTCTTGATCTTTTCGAACCTCCTTTAATGGCAAAGAAGGAATCATTACCTTGTAGCCCTTTTCATAAAATCTAACTTTGTTAGTCTTGCCATCATAGATAGTTCCTTGATCAGATTGTCATGGTCGGCCAAGAAGCACATGGCATGCGGTCATCAGAGTAATATCACAAAGGACATCCTCTTTGTAGGGGCCGATTGAAATTGGAACTTTGGCTTGCCTAGTGATCATCATATCTCCACTAGAGTTCATCCATTGAAGATGGTATGGAGTTGGATGCTTGATAGTTTGGAGTCCAAGCTTGTCTACCACATACCAACTTACGACATTGGTGCAACTTCCGTTATCAATGATTATCGACGCTCGCTTCCCACCAATCTTGCACCGACAATGGAACAAATTCTCCCGTTGCTCCTTAACCCGATCAACAAATTTTTCCGACTCCTTAGGAACTGCTTCAAGCATTCGCAAAACCACTAGAGACTCCCCGGATGAATCCTCTTCAACGTGATCTTCCGTCTCTTGGATTGCTTCATCCTCACTCGCCTCAACCTCACGTTCCCAATCTTCACCCTCATCATCCGACAAAAATACATAGTCCCCATTATCACAAAGCACAACAGTTCACACATTAGGGCATGTATTGGCATAATGACCTTTCCTTTGACACTTAAAGCATGTGACATCCTTTGCTTTGTTTGGTGAACCATCCTTGCTGACTTTCCTTGGTTCATCACGCTTAACCACCTTAAGCGGCTCATTCTTGGTCGTGTGCTTATCATCTCCTTTGGGCCAAGATTTTGTTGGTCCTGTATTACCCCCAAACTTGTTGAAATTTGGTGACGTCTTTCCAAAGCTCACACTTACTCCTACCTTTCCATGCGATTCAATCTTGGTAGCAAGTTGGACAAGTTGCAAAGTAGAATTGTAAGGATACATATCCACTTGAATCATAATATCACGCCTCAGCCCTTTGAGAAACCGATACATGGTGACTCCATCATCTTCTACAAGCTGAGCCCGCATCATAAGCATCTTCATTTCCTTGTAGTACTGCTCAACCGTCTTGCTACCTTGGACTAAAAACTGAATTTTCTGAAGAAGATCCATCCGATAATGCGGGGGGCACAAAACGTGCATGCATAGCTTGAGTAAGGGCTGCCCATGTCTCAATCGGAGGCATTCCGGACCTTGCAATATCAGCTTGTATCTTCTCCCACCAAACAAGAGCATACTCTTTAAACTCCACAACAGCAAGCTGAATTTTCTTGCGCTCCAAGTAATTATGACATGCAAACATCATCTCCACTTTGCTTTTCCACTCAAGAAACTCATTAGGTTCAGCCGATCCTACGAAAGGTGGTATGGAGAACTTGATGGACTGCATGTTATCATCAACCTCATTAACTCGAACTCGGCTCCTTCGGTTATGGATATCTCCTTCCAAGTCAAATTCATCAAGTAACTCTTTGGTAGCATCCCGTCTTCCTCGTCGGCCTTGGATAGATGTAGGCCTTGGACTAGTATGACGCATTTCGCCAAAGTCATCAACTTGGATAGATCGATTTGGGAAAACACTTGTTGAGCCCATAGGTTGCTTGCCAAGGTGGATTTCTTCACGTCTAGCATCACTATGACTTCCCCTTTCTTCAAGAGTAACAACCTTATCGAAAACCTCATCAAGTTTCTTTTCCATATTTTGATCAACCTTCCTTAACAAGGCCTTCGCATTAGCCTTCATCCGAGCATCCACAACATCATCTATGTCCTCTCGAACATGATCTACTTGACTCCGTAGGTCATGCATCTCTCGACCTTGCTGATCCACACGAGATGTCATGCTATCCATCTTTCCGCCTAACTCGTCTTTAATATCTCGCATATCCTTGCTTTGCTTATTTATCGCAGCCAAGATATCATCCAACGAAGCCATACCTGCACCAAAACAAACTAATATATGTATATTGAAAGTTAGTCCTCACAATCCCCCCTATCGCACACTCGTGTATACCTCTCGACGAATGGGTAGAGTTTCCAAGCTCTTAAAGTGTGCCTTGATGGAGTCGTAAAGGTGGAACCTGAGTGATGTACGCGTTTAAAGTGGACAAGAAACTTTAAACACGACTCAATCAAAGAAAGCTCAAGATAGTATCAATCATGCAATGCATAGAACCAAGCTCATTCATTCACGAACGAATGGCCAAACGTACACAACACAAAAATGAAGGAACTAAGCAAGTCAACAGCAAACACAAGCTGAATAGATCTCAACAACCACAAAATCACCACAATACTCAACCCCTTTTAAAAACGTGTCAAATGAATATGACAAGCACAAAATCGATCCAAACCCAAAACTGAATAATCAACGTCAATTAAAAATTCACAAAAACTGATTAATATAACTTTCTCCCCACTTCACAAGGTTTCCAATGACATATCATACGCGAAAAACGGAGCTCGTATGAGAAAACTACAACTCAAACAAGATTATCTACAAAAAATTGCTCTAGTCCTCCCGCTCGATTTTGTTTTTTTTTTTATTGTATTTCGTTTTTTTTCTTGTTTTTTTTTTCAAATATTTTGGTTTTCTTTTTCTTTTCTTTGCAACAATTTTTTTTTTTTGCAACTCCTTTTTTTTTTTTTGCTTTTTCATGGCAATATTACGAGGCCTAGGCAAAACAATACATCAACAATAACTCCTTACACTTCCCCAACAACATCCACCTCAATAAATTCAACCTCACTTCAAACAACAACAAACTCAACAACCCGCAAACTTGCAAAACTCAAACAAGAGCAAAATCGCAAAACTCAAACAAGAACATGAAGTGTACAATTAAAATCACTCGTCAACAAAGTCACAAGCTTGAGTTCATATAATGCATATGGATGTAAGGTGCATGTTGTACACTAGGAAGCATAGAGGATCAAATCGTCTACACTAGCAGGCCAAGCAATGACAAAACTCGAAATCAAATCTACGTCAATGATATGCAATAAAAATTTCAACTAAGCAACAAGAAGAAAGAATGAAAAGGAAAGATAAAAAAAGAATTTTTTTTTTCGGAATTTTCAGAATAAAGATAGTGTAGATTGATCAAACTGCTCTGATACCAAAATTTAAATATATGTCATGGACCGAATTGATCAACTACACAAGACACGAAATAAACTAATAAACAACGACAAAGAACGAACAACTAAACATAACTAACTAAACAAGAAAAGAAAAAATTAACTAAGCGGAAATGAATAAAGCGAGAAAAAGGATATTAGAAAGAGAAGCAAACCTAAGTAAGTACTAACGTAAGAACGACCTGATACCCTTCTAGCATCAAACCATCCTCCACGAAGGCACCACCTCGGTCGACACTTTGGAGAGCTCTTCCACCTTCCCCAAATGCCACGAACTTGAGGCTTTATACTCAAACCCGAATTTTTGAACTAAACCCCATGGAGCATGCAATGGAATTGCATTCCATGAAATATTAGACTAAAAGAAAAAGTATTGCTATCAAGCATAACTTTCCATGAAAGGCAGTGATCATAAATGATCAATTATTCACAAAAATATATTTGCTTGGTGTGTCCTACAATGCACCTTAACGGTCCTATTTATAGGAGTGGGGAAAGGGGCAAGTGGAGTGATTTTCCAATGTGGGATGGATTGTGTATAAGTCAGTAACCTCCACATGAGTGACACCTAGCTAATGGTCCCCCTTTGCATGTGAGAGGCATGTGAGAGTTTATTATATATATATATATAAGTGGTTCCAATGGATGGTCCCCCCCACTTCAGAATGTGTAACCTAGGTTTATATAATTACATATTAAACCCTCTATTTTAGCAAACTCCTAGGTTTGCAAAACCTTTCCGTTAGTTGTCCGATTGAGGCGTTGCAAGCTCCAATGTAACCTTTACAACCACGGCACTCGCCCTAGGCTTTCCATCATGTCCTCGCATGTTGTAACATAGTCCGTCCGTTGGGCCCCAATTCTCTAATTTCTTTATCATGCCTTGCAATTTTTCAATGCACGCTTTCGCTCGAGCTCTCGAGACTGGTCCGATTGGAATATGTGGAATTGCAAGTCCCGATCTTTTCGTATCCATGTCATATTACATAGTGCTTTAAGGGAATACAATTACTGCTTTTGTTTCAAAACTTCCTTTTCTTTTTATTATATAGCACTTTATGGGATTAATACTTTGTGCTTTCTAGTTCTAATTATAGTGTTTTTCCTATTTGTTGTATAGAGTTTTAAGGTAATATAAATATCGCTCTTGTATCTTCAATGTTTTTCTTTTTTATTATAAAGCACTTTATTTGATTGTACTTTGTACTCCAGAGTTATAATTATAGTGCTTTTCATATTTATTACATAGTGCTTTAAGGGAATACAATTAGTGCTTTTGTTTCTTGACTACCTTTTTTTTTTTTATTATATAGCACTTTATGCGATTAATACTATGTGCTCTATAGTTCTAATTACAGTGCTTTTCCTATTTGTTATATAGAGTTTTAAGGTAATATAAATAGCGCTTTTGTTTTTTCAATGTTTTTCTTTTTTATTATAAAGCACGTTATGAGATTGTACATTGTGTTCGACAGTTATAATTACAGTGCTTTTCATACGTATTACATAGCGCTCTAAGGGAATACAATTAGTTCTATTGTTTCTTGACTACCTTTTCTTTTTATTATATAGCACTTTATGGGATTAATACTTTGTGCTTTCTAGTTCTAATTACAGTGCTTTTCCTATTTGTTATATAGAGTTTTAAGGTAATATAAATAGCGCTCTTGTTTCTTCAATGTTTTTCTTTGTTTATTATAAACCACGTTGTGAGATTGTACTTTTTGCTCGAGAGTTATAATTACAGTGCTTTTCATACGTATTACATAGCTCTTTAAGGGAATACAAATAGTGTTTTTGTTTCTTGACTACCTCTTCTTTTTATTATATAGCACTTTATGGGATTAATACTTTGTGCTTTCTAGTTCTAATTACATTGCTTTTCCTATATGTTATATAGTGTTTTAAGG